GTGGAGGCTCAAGGTGGAGACCCCTGCATTGGGGGCCCTGGTGTGGAGGCTAAAGAAAGGGCTTTCCTGGTTGGGGGACCCTTATGGGTCTCAGATTCGGCTTAGAGGCAGGAAGCCTCCTGTAGAGGATCCTAATGGGGACAGCAGGCCACGGGGGTGCCCAGGGCAGGGCGGGGTCCCCAGGCCCAGAGCGCCTGCTGCTCCCGCCTACCGGAGGGGGTGCACGTCAAACAGCGGTGGCTGGAGCTCGGCCAGCTCGATGGCAGTGATTCCCAGGGACCAGATGTCACACAGCTCGTTGTAGCCGCCCTTCAGCGCCACGGCCGCCACTTCTGGAGCCATCCTGGGGGCAGAGACCTTCAGAACCCAGGGGGAGCCCCAGGAGGGGAAGGGGAGAGGGTGTGGGCAGTAGGCAGGAGTGGCAAGTGGGACGTGGAGACAGGTACAGAGAGAAACCCAAGGATGAAGAGACTGACATAAAGAGGGAAAGACAGCGACAGAGAGCCAGAGAGCCACGGACTGGGACAGGTGAGCGATGGAAATACAGAGATGAAGAGATCAGAGTCAAAATCAAGCAAATGAGGAGAGAGACAGGGTGAGGGGGACGGTGAGACCAAGCTAGTGGAGAGCTCAGGGGAGCCAGAGCGCAGACAGGAAGGCCATGGCCGGGGACGGACATTCCGGAGAAGCAGGGTGGGGAGGCCCTGCCCTCCACCCCATCCCAGTCTGCCTGCCTGCCGGGCACCCCTCACCAGTAGGGTGTCCCGATGAAAGAGAGGCGTCGGGCCAGTGTTGCCCCGATCTGGGCCGAGATACCAAAGTCAGCTGGAAGCAGTGGGAGAGACACAGTGACCTGGGGCCCCTGGCCCCTTGGGCTGCCAGCGGGCCCCTCCATTCCCCTGCCAGCCGCACTCACCCAGTCTGACCTCCCCAGCATCATTGATGAGGATGTTGGCTCCCTGAGGACCAAAGAGGGGTGAGTGGCTGCGGATCCTGAGAACAAGGCCTCCACTCCCTGATCCCCTCTCACACCCCACCCGTCCTCCAGTGCCACCCTCTCTCCTGGCTCCTGCAAGGCCACCTTGATGTCCCGGTGTATCTTCTTCTGTGAGTGCAGATAGGCCAGTCCCTGGGGAGGGGGTGGACATGGGGTTGTGAGTGGCTGGGGGGGGGGGGGGGCCCAGCCCCCACCCTGGACCCATCCTCACCTGCAGCACTTCCCGGCAGACATAGCTGATCTGCAGCTCAGACAGGGCCCCCGTCACTGCAAAGGTCACCCCCAGCAGTGTTGGGTGGGGGGCAGGAAACCTGGCCCTGGGAGCCCCCGGCCCCACCCACACTAGCTGAGAGGGTGCCGCGTGGGCAAAGGGAAACCGGAGGGTGGGGTAATGAAGGGGCGATCAGAGAGGCAGTGAGGAGGCGGGAGCCGGGGACCAGAGGGAGGCAGAGTCACTCGGCAGATATTTATCGCACGTCCACTATGGGCCCAGGCCCTGTGGTCAGCACCGGGGACAGAGCATGGACAAGAGCGGCCCTGGTGGAGAGAACATTCCAGCAGGAAGGTGGGCAGGAAACCAGATAAAGAAGTGCACAGCAGGCAAAGTGCAGCATACAGACGGCAAGTCGAGGGGCCTGGGGACATGCGTGTGGCAAGGGGGTGGTCAGTGGAGGCCACTCTGAGAAGGGGAGAGAGAGCAGACCCCGCATGGAGGGGACAGAGCAGGTGCTGAGGTGGGGAAGGTGCCTGGCAGGTCTGGGAAGCAACAAAGTAGGTGGAACAGAGCGGGGGAGAGAAGTGGGGTATGTGGGCTGGTGTGGGGTGGGGTCACACTCGTGGGGCACAAGGATATTGGACATATTTGGGGGGAATGGAGGGTTTGAAGCGGAGGATACTGTGACTCTGCTAAGTGAGGAAAGGGAGAGAGAGGCAAGAGAACAGGGAGCAGATCCAAACTCAACAGAGACCAAGAAGTGGGAGGACAGACACGCTGAGAACACCCACGGAGGCGTGAGCAGGAATGGGGTGACAGAGGGCCCGAGGCCAGGCTTGTGTCTCTGGGCATTTGCCCCTGAGAAACTCCTAGTGAGGTTCTTTCCTGACCTGCCAGGTCTTGGGCTAGAAGGGAGATGGAAATGGCTGAAGACAGAGGAGGGTGTCAGAAGTTGGCGGGTGATGAGAGGTCTACCCCCCCCAAATTCCAGGAGTGTTAAGTAGCACGCCAAGGAGAGAATCGGAAGCTCGTTCACTCACGCTACAGAAATGGGGGTGCCTGCTATGAGCCAGGAGTGCAGAAGACCTTCTGCACGTGAATAGCGGCCGCCAGAAAATGCAGGTTCAAGAAGGTGGGGGGCAAGAAGCAGAGGAAATCTGTAATGGACCCGGGGCAGGGCCCAGCGTCCAGTCAGTCACCACAGCGTCCCCAGCACCATCCAGGCCAGGAGAGGGTCTCTTGGCAATGCACTATGGCCCAGAAGACCATCCCAGGCGACACAGTCGGGGGATGGGGGGGCGACTGGATCCCCCGCCCTTCCCCTCACCTTGGTAGACATCCTGGAGAGAACCAGCCCCACAGAATTCCATGCAGATCCAAAGCTTCTGTAGCCTGCAAAAGGTTGAGGGGAACAGTAGCCACAAAGATAGGAGTGAGTGATCACTTCTGGGATAGGCGCTGGCTCCCCGCCTCGCTCAGTGGACGCCAAGAGCAGCGGCCATGCCCCCTGCCCACCAGCGTGAGCTCACCCCACTTCTGTCTTATATATGGGGAAGCTGACCCTGACGGAAAAATGTATGTTCCAGGTCAACTGGATTTGAACCCAGCTCTTTGGGTTTCTGCCCCTAGGCACCTTCTGTTGCCCCCTGTTAGCCAGGACACAGGGTGGCATCCCCCCAGCTGTGGAGGATCGAAGGGGAAGGGGCTCAGGGTGCCAGGTCTCAGGGATAGAGGTCATTATTGGGGCATCTTGAGATATTAACTGGGGGGTCAGGGAATTTAGGAGTATAAAAGAAGTGAAACTGCAGGACCCAAGGACAGGATGGTAAAAGATTCCTTTAGGGGACTTGGTTTCAGGTCCTATGAAGAGAGCAACATGGGGAACCCCTGGTCGGAAATAGGGGTTCTGGATTGGGGACTAGATTAGGAGATGCTCTGGTTAGGAAGAACTTCACACTGGGGAAGGCCCGCCTCACAAGGTAAGGAGGCCTCGGTTGAAAACGGGTCCAGAATGGGAATTCAGGTTAGGAGTTGCCCTGGTAAAGAATGGGGGTTCTGGACTAGGAGCTGGGTCCCCAGGGAGGTCTGAGGCTCATCACCAGAGGTAGCTGCCATGGTAGGCCACGATGTTGGCGTGCCGGCACGTTTTCAAAATGAGGATTTCCTTCTGAAGAGTGGAAACATCATCATCTGTGGGGCAGGAGGGTAAGGGGAGACAGATGGGCACTGTGATTCCAGGGCCCCAGAGGTGGCGGGAGGGGGGAGGCGGGCGGGGGGAAGGAGCGCCTGGCTCCTCTCCTCACCAGGCTCCATCTTCACCATCTTCAATGCTACCAGGTCCCCCGTCACTTTGTCTCGAGCCTTGTAAAGGGGAAGTTGGCAGTCAGGCAGAACCCCGTTCACCTCACTTTGTCCACAGCATCCATGAGCCGGGGCCAAGAACCAGGCCTCTCTAGATTCCCCTCCTTGGCTTCCTGGGCCTCAACCCAAAGGTCAGTGGTTGGAAGGAGCTAGAAAAGGGGGGCTAGACAAGGAGTGGGGGATCCTTACCTTAAAGACTTCCCCATAGGTGCCGCCACCCAGCCGCTGCAGCAGGTCATAGTGGTCCCGGGGGTCAGTGTTAAAGATGTCGGGGTCCACGAGGTCCATCCCTGGGGGCCGGAGCTGGGCCTGCGCCCAGGGGCCAGCAGGGCCTCAGGGCTGTAGTGCTGGCACCTCCCTCCTCCCCACAAGCCCTGCACCCGCCTTGCCTCCACCGGCTGTGGCCTCCCAGCTCCCCACTCTCGCTTCCTGCCCCAGCACAGGGCTGTACAGCGGGCTCCACCCCCTTGTCCCCTGGGTCTTGAGAACTTGTGAGGGACAGCTTGCCTTGGGACCCAGGGGACTCTTTCCACCTCCGGGGCACTGGGCTAAATGTAAACCAGATGCAAACTATCTCACTTATAACTTGGGGGTGCCCTAGCACCCTCTCCTCCGTTCTGGGCAACAGCTAGAAACCACACTGAGTCTTCGCTGAGTGCTTGAGGGTTTAGCCACAACCGGGAGATGGCAGATCTGCACAGGGCTGGCCTTGCAATGTACATGCCTGTTCACCTGGGGCACATACGTGCACTGGGTGGCACCTGTCAGTGCGGGGCACATACCAGCCCACATGCTCATGCTTGGATGCCCTGCGCTCTCATGTGCTGTACCTAGAGCACATGCTTCCACACATGACACATGCTAGTGCATTCAGTTCTGCAGTGTGCAGAATTTATGCACACAGCTCACGACCGCACATAAGAGGAGCTCGCCCACAATACTGAAGCCTAATGGGCACCAGACACGATCCAGCGGGGTTCAAGAACGCTTTTGCCCCTGTCTGGCAGGGCACAACTTTATGGGCCCCTATCCCTGGAGTTGGGGCAGAAGCAGGGACCAGGTTCAGGACTTGGGAAACTCAGCATCCTGTCTCAGGTGCCCAGTCTGGGACACAGAGGACCTTAAAGAGCACGGTCCCCGGGACTTATCCAAGGCAAAGGAGGACTACTACGCGCACTACAGTTTAGTTTTGTGAGTTCAAGGCCGCGCATAATGCGGCGCGCGCGTAGCCCGCCACAGATCCGCCCCCTTCCAGAGAACGGAGCGCACGTCCCGGGAACTAGAAACCCGTAAGCGAGGCCTGCAAAAGCTTAGCTCCGCCTCTACGCCCCCAGGCGGCGCCTGCGCGCTGGGCTAGACTGAGCTTTTTCTCACGCCGTCGGTCCAGTTCGGGTGGAGCGTGTGCGCACGCGCCAGCCGCGCCAGCCGGGAAGAAGTCACGTGACTGTCGGAAACCCGGGTTGCCGCCGCGACAGCCCGCCTCCTTACCGCCTCGCCCGCCCCCTCGGACTGGAGGAAAAACAACTACGTAGGTTCCGTTTCCCCCACCTCTTCCTCTTCCGGTCCTCGCGGGCACCCTCACGACAGGGTCCTCGGCTCCGACCCGGGTTGAGGAGGCGGCGTTAGCCATGGCGATGTTCGAGCAGATGAGAGCCAACGTGGGCAAGTTGCTCAAGGGTATCGACAGGTCCGAGCCCGGTCGGAAGGAGCCTGGCGGGGACGGGGAGAGGGTTTCGGGCGAGACCGCCAGGGGTGGTCAGGAAGCTGGGTTTGTGCGCGGGAGACTTCCCTGTGGTCCTGGAAGGGACCTGTTGAAGGAAATGCCGTCAGTCACCTGTGGTCCTCAGACCTGCCGCGCTCCAGCTCTCCCTTTCTCAGCCCCTCAGTTTCCTCCTTTTGGGGTTTAACCCTTCTCTGCATTTCTCGGTGCTTCTTACCCCGGCCCCCCCTCTCCCCATGTCATACCCGCAAGACATGTTCACGGAACGTGCCCTTTCATTGCTGTGACCCGAGGTCACCTAGACAGCTGCAGGCCACACTTCGCGGGTTCACAGCTGAGATGAACCCCACAGCCCACCCCAGGAGCTGCGAGTGGCCGGGGCCACTGAGCTAGATTGGGCAGGGCCCAGTGGGGGAAACTGAGGAGGGGGGAAGGTGTGAGAGGCAAAGAGGTCCAGGAGGCCGGGTGTGCAGGCTCAGGTAGGGGAAGCTGGGGAGGCATCTTAGGAGAGCCCAAGAACTCCTGTGGGGTTTAGAGGAAGGGAGGGAGGTGTAGGTTAGACTGTAGTGTCCCCCTCCCCCCAGGTGACTGGCCTCATTCCTGTGTCCTCTCTGCTCACTCATCTTGTCCGCTAGGTACAACCCTGAGAACCTCGCCACCCTGGAGCGCTATGTGGAGACGCAGGCCAAGGAGAATGCCTATGATCTGGAAGCCAACCTGGCTGTCCTGAAGCTGTGAGTGTCTCCCTCCATTTCCTCCTCCCACCCCCCAAACACACATAGCAGAGTACTTGCTACTCCCAGCACTGGGTGGGGAGACATGATGTGGCTATTTTGGGGAATGCAAGATCCAGAAGCCAGAGAGCCTGGGACAGGAGGAGGAATGGTGTTTTAGCAATTTTGTGACTTATTATTTTAAAGATTGTTTATTTTTGCACATAGAACTGGGGTACAGGTCAGAGGTGGGGAGGGGTGAGAGGATTCACCAGAGGCAGAGTGGGGAGCAGAACAGGCAGATCAACGAAGTACACTGCTGAGGGGAGCAGCGGGGAGACTGGAGAGGTCTGCTGTGCCGTGTGGGTTACTCTCCTGGCCGGGGATTGAACTTGTGTTGAGGTGGCTGCAGCTAGTTTTGTAGTGCTGCGCTTTAACCTGTTGCATCACCGAGAGGGCCCAGCAATTTTGTGATCTAAAAGTTACAAAATGTGGCACAAAGACACAGCACTGCAAGCTGGCCACAGCCGCTTTCAGTGCGAGTTTGATCCTCTCCCCAGAGATGGCCCACACGGCCCGCACACCTCTCCTGACCTGCCCATTGCTCCCCTCAGCAGTGTTCTTCATTGATCTGCCTGTTCTGCTCCCCACTCTGTTTATGGTGAATCCTCTCACTGCCCCTGCACCTCTGGCTTGTACCCCAGTTCTGTATGCATAAATAAATAAGTCTTTTTTAAAAAAAGTTACAAAATGTGGTACAGTCTAGTATGAAAACCAGTTGCGTAGTTTAACAAGGAGCTGTCAGCAGGCGCCCATGGGTGATCATCCCAATGAAAATTGAACTGTTAGTGCTCTGGCCCTTTGCCCCTTACACTTTCTGCCCCGTCACTGTTGTCGTGCTCTCACGGCCTGGCCTCACGTGAGTTCCAGGCACTCTTGCCTGCATCCTGCCTTGCCCCAGTCAGGTTCTCCTGCTTTGCAGTTGGCACAGATGTGATCCCAGAGCACACACTCTTGGGCATCTGGCATTTTCCACCCAGCTGGGTCTGTGACATCCTTTCCCTTCATGTGTTTCTGGGTGGCTGCGGCTCGCCTGTCATCACTGCGTATCCTGGGGTGACTGTGTTCTAGTTATCTTCTCCTCTTGAGGGACAGCTGCAGGCCCTTGGTGCTTTGTTGACTCACTGCCAGCTGTGTGATTTTTGCTAGTGACTTGATCTCCATTTTGATGTCTGTACAGTAGAGGAAAGAGCGCTTTGTTTTTCTTTGTTTTGCAGTAAGTGTAGTTTACAACACTCCACAGGTTCCAGTACATTCTCTCTCCTCAGTCACTGCATCTGTCTTACTGTGCCCACTCCAGCTGCCCAGTCATCACCCACCACCAGCCCTTCAGACACCTCTGCACACCCCTCTCCCCTCTGGGGGCCATTCTGTCATGGGTTTGAGGATTTGTTTTTGTTTTGTTTGTTCACTTAATAGCACTTGTGTTACTTTTAAGTTGTTTTGGGGGTTGACCGCTGCTCAGTGGGCGGGGAGAGCGCTGTTTGCTTGCTGCTGTGCCAGAGGCCTCCTGGGTCTGAGCTCAGTGGAGTGCTGGGTTTCCTGGCCAGGTGGCAGGAAGTGTCACCCTCTCCTTTTTCAGAGAAGTTTACCCCGGGGATTTACCCGGCAGCCTTTGTGCGGAGCCTCCGTGCTCCTTGGGTCCGCGCTGTGCTCGTGTACTCACCTGTGAGTCTGAGCAGAGCCTGCGCCCTGGGTGGGGCTGTGGCTACTTGTCCCTGAGCGCAGAGCAGGGAGGGACTGGGGAGCCCACTGTGGCCGGGAGCGGGACTCAGGGAGGTCCAGTGCCGAACTCCGGCCGCAGCTGTGGGCCGCCCGCTTGGGGCCTGCTGAGCCCACAGCCCCGAGGCGCCACTATGACCTTGTCCTCGTCCCCCTTCACAGGTACCAGTTCAACCCCGCCTTCTTTCAGACCACGGTCACCGCCCAGATCCTGCTGAAGGCCCTCACCAACCTGCCCCACACGGACTTCACGCTGTGCAAGTGCATGATCGACCAGGCGCATGTATCCTAGGCCCGGCTGGGTGGCTGGGGCAGGGGCGGCGGGAGCGTCGCCGGCAGGCGCGGTCCAGAACGCAGGCCAGGCCTTCCCTCAGTTCACGCTCCGTGGGGGCGACAGGCCCGTTGGCGATGGTCTGGGGTGCTCGGCTTGGCGTCAGATGGGCCAGAAGAGACACCCGTCTCAAGGTCGTGAAAGCTTCTGGGAAAGGGCGCACCTGAAAGGTGAGGGGTCAGTTGCAGTGGTGGCGAGGGGGCCCGGCAGAGGGGCAGTGCGGGCGCCTGAGGCCGGGAAGCGCAGCGCTCGTGGATGCGGGAGCCGCGCGGCTGGGCAGGCTGAGGAAGGCGCCCGGGGCCACGCAAGACCCTAAAGTTGCAGATTGATGTGTAGGTTGGCATTTGAGAGATTCCACTGAGGTTCCCCTGAGGGGGGCTAGAGAGTGGGCCGCAGGGAGACCAGCGCGAAGGGGGCTGGGACGTCTTGGGGGGCCGCGCAGGCGGGAGCCAGAAAGCTCGGCTGTCACCTGGACTTGACTTCTCCGTGCCTGGCACGTCCTGGCACAGTGCTGGCTTCCATGAAGTCCGTGAACGGGACTCCCCACCCTCCCCAGGGTCTGTTCTGGTCGCTTCAAGGAGAAAGGAACAGGGTGTGCAGTGACGACCCCAGAGAGCGTATGGCGGGGAAAGCAGGGTCCTCCGCAGCCAGCTGCTCCGCCAGCAGGAGGCGCCGTCTGCAGCACCCTGCTTTGGGGGGGGCGGGGGCCGGGGAAGTGCTGGGCTGCACGCCCCTCTTCCTGCCCAGATATAAGCTGCTGCTCTGCCGTGTTCACATGGCGCTGTCCCCCTCGGTGTCACTTCTGTGGGGAGTGACACCGTCGCTGGCGGGCCGGCCAGGTCGCTTCACCACGCTGTGTCGCTGTGAACATGCCGCCTCTGTGTCCGTGGCAGGGGCCACCGAAGGCCCCATCTTCTGGGCAGATTCTGAGCTAAACCTGGGGGTGAAGGCAGAGGCAGGGAGGGGCCAGCGCCAGCTCGCCTTCCCTTAACGCCGGCTCCTCCCAGCAAGAAGAGCGGCCCATCCGACAGATTCTCTACCTGGGCGACCTGCTGGAGACCTGCCACTTCCAGGCCTTCTGGGTAAGTTCCCCGTGGTGCAGGGGCTGTCGGGTGACTGGCCCAGGCGAGAGGCTGCACCGAGGAGCCTGTGCCCACCCGGCGGGCTGGCCGCGTGCCACGGGGCCTGTGCTGAGTGCTCTGTGCGTGTGAGCCGGACTGGCCACCTCTGAGACCCGAGGCTAGCCCCTCCCCCGGCCCCTGGTCTTAAGCAGAAGGCCTCCCTTGCTTGGTTTAACCAGAGTGGGGGCCGCCCCGGCTCCTCGACACCACTCCCAGGCCCGCTCCCGAAGCAGTGCGGGTCGTGGGTATCGGGGCCCCCAGCCGTGACTGCCCCTCTCTCCAAGAGGGAGCTCACCCGTGTGGTGCGCCTCACTCACTCCCAGGGGTTCAAAAGCCAGATGGTGCTCCCTCCTCCCAGCCTTTCACCCCTTGCTTCACCCCTCAGTTCCCTTCTAGACAGTGCTCTCAGCACCTGGGGTCCCCAAGGAGTCTTTGAGGAATGCTGAACTTGGCCCTGCCCTTCCGAGGCTGCGACGTTTGGTCAGATGGTCCCAGGCAGTTCTGACCGCCTGGCTGAGCCTGGACCCCTCTCCCCCAGCTTGTCCGCGCCCATGACTGCTCCCTCCTTGCCCAGGAATGTCAAACATCTCCACCCTCTGAGCATTTCCTCCGCATCCCTTCCTCTAGCATAAATCTCACGCTCCTCCCCCTGGATCGAGGTGATGAGCGGGCAGGAGACCAGTGGCGCACACGTGGCCCCCAGCCCCTCCTGGCCCTGCTTCCCGCCTCTGCCAGGTCCCCCTTCACCCCTGGACAGGCTCCCACGCCTCATCCGCTTCTCGCCTCGTGTCATCTGGGCCGCTTATTTGGTGGGGAAATAGAAGTAGCCAAAGCAGGACTGGTCCTGCCCGTGACCTTGTACAGTATACTGGGCAGATACTGGCCGCTGACAGGGCGCGTTGCTGTGCTCCTGGGCCCGCTGGCCCTCCTCTGGCGGCCACCCCTCGGTGCAGGGGTCCCCTCCCTCGTAGCACGCCATGCCTCTCCTTTCCTGGCGTTCTCAGGCACCGTGGACTGCGGCAGGCCTGCACTTAGTTCTGGCCAGAAGCAGGGAGCTCCCTGGGCCTCCCCGTCCCCCTCCTCCCCCTTCCCCTGCCCCCCTTTCCAGCCATGCTCCTGGATAGAGAGACTGGCTGTCCCCGTTGGCCTGGGTCTGCTGGAAAACCCAGGAAGCCCCGCTGGCTGGGCCCGGCTGGCTGGGACTGGTCCCTGCCCTGGGACAGGTCGCCTGTGCTCAGGCCCCTGTTCATGTGGCCCCACGCCGCCCACTCTGCCCCGGGCCCAGTACACACTCCCCTCACGCCGGCCTTGTCACGTCGGCCCTGACGCCTGTGTGGCTAGGCCCAGCAGGGGTCCTCAGGCCTGCGTCGCCCACCCTGCCAGCACCTCCGGTCCTGCCCTGCCCCCGCAACCCCTTCCGCCCCTCGGCTTGCAGGACAGCTGGTGCTCTGGTCTCCCCCTGCTTCGCTTACTGCTCCCTATAGTCCGGGCGCTGCCTAGTCCTGTCATGGTGGTTGTGGGGGCCTCCGAGAAGATGACATTGGAGCAGAAGCTTGACAGGAGTGGGGAGCTGGCCAGGAGGGAGTTTTAGACCCAAGACTGGCAGGTGCAAAGGCCTGGGGTGGTGGCCAGGGGGCAGGTGAAGCCGCTGGGGCTGGAGTAGGGTGAGGGCAGAGGCCGGTGCAGAGCTGACTGGCACCTCGTGAGGCCTCATGGGCTGTAGGGGGACACTCGACCTTTTTTTCCTTTTCTTTTGCTTTCAATATTTTGTAGAAAAGACACCTTCTGACTACACTGGGGAATAGGCCAGAGGTGTGGGAGTGAGAGGATCCCTCAGAGACAGAGCAGGGAGCAGAAGAGGCAGATCTACCGAAACACACTGCTGAGGGGAGCAGCGGGCGGTCAGGAGAGGTCTGCTGCGCCCCGAGGGGATCGTGTCTGCTGCAGTGGTGATAGCGTTGAGATGTCACCCTGAGGCCACCAGGGAGGCCCCAAATATTTGGCCTTTTCTGAGTGAGCCTGGAGGAAGGGGGGCGGGGGTGGCTGCCTGTTCTCTTGTAATGTGGCTTCTGCCTGCCAGGTTCAGATTCCAGCTCTGAGGTTCTGGGAAAATCACTTAGTTGTTGCGAGCCCATCTTCTCCATCTCTGTGGGCGTTAGGAGGTTCGCGCAGCACGGCAGGGCACGGGGGCTGAATGCCCACGTCACGTCGTGTGACCGGCCTATGCACAGTGTTGTCCCTTTCACAGCAAGCCCTGGATGAAAACATGGACCTCTTGGAAGGCATAACTGGCTTTGAAGACTCAGTTCGGAAATGTAAGCGCCCCTCGCTCTGGCTCCTGGGGGCCGGGTTGGGGAGGGGGCAGCGGGCGCCTGGCCCTTCACCCACTGTGTCCCTGGCTCCCGCAGTTATCTGCCACGTGGTGGGCATCACTTACCAGCATATCGACCGCTGGCTGCTGGCGGAGATGCTCGGGGACCTGACAGGTAAGGCCTCCGCGGCTCCCTAGCGCTGGCCGAGGAGGTTGGGGGGCAGGGGCCCCAGCCAGCTCCTGAGGAGGAGGGCTCGGCCAAGGGAGGGCATGGGGAATCGGTCTAAAGCATTACCGGGGTGCCGTGGGGGCTCCTGGGGCATTCATTTTTCCTGCACACGTGAGTTGGAGGGCTGCTCTGGTCTAGGCCCCAGGGCCCGAGCAGTGAACGAAACGTTTATTCTTATGGAGACAGCCAGGCAGACGATAGTTGGGACGTACGTGTCCAGTGGCAGTTCGTGTGGGACATGAGGTGGGGGGTTAGAGTGCTCGGAGGAGAGAGGGTCCCCTGAATGGAGTGAGGGCAGCACAGTCGGGGCGCTAAGGCCGGGACTGCTGTCCCCAGGGCGTGGGGCTGGGCAGTGGCATCTTCAGATTAGCGGGGACCCCTGAAGCCCCTGGTCCTTACTCCGGGTGAGATGGGGCTGCTGAGCAGGGAGGGACAGGGCAGATGTTGCCACTGTAGCTGCGGGTGAGCGGAGGCGAGTGAGCCCACTGCTGTTACCAGGAATTGAGGCCTCGCTGGGAGAGAGGAGAATTGGGTAGTGCCAGTTGCTGAGACGGTGCTGGCGTGGTGAGCAGAGAGCTGAAGGCGCCCTGTGCGGCTGCCTGGAGAATGGCCCCTTCTGGCCAGGCAGAAGATACCTGGAGCCTCTGAGCAGCCAAGCAGCGAGGGGGCGGGCCGCTGGCTCCCGGCTCCCTGGCTACTGCGGGGCAGGTGACTGAAGCGCCACGGCCGCCATGTCCCCTGCAGACAACCAGCTGAAGGTGTGGATGAGCAAGTACGGCTGGAGCGTCAACGAGTCGGGCCAGGTCTTCATCTGCAGCCAGGAGGAGAGCATCAAGCCCAAAAACATCGTGGAGAAGATCGACTTTGACAGTGAGTGCGGTCCCAGGCTGCGGGCTCGGGAAGTGCCTCCGGCAGGCCCGCTTGGGGGTTCCGGCCAGGGGCCAGACTGCTGGCCTCTGTCGGGGCTCCCACCCGCGGTGCAGTGGCGGAGGGTGCTGGGCGTCCTTCCCTGGGCCTCTTGGGTGTCTCCACACCTTCACTGGTCTTGGGGGCTGTGTCTGGGGCCTCCGTCAGCCTTGCGCTGGCGTCTGCAGGCAGTGGCAGACTCCGGAGCCAGGTTAGCCGGGTGTGGGATCTTGGTTCTCTGCCGGATCGCTGTGTGACTTTGGGCAAGTGAGTTCTCTCTGTGCCTCAGTTTCTCATCTAGAAAGTGAGCCGACAGCAGCGATAGTTGTGCAGACACTAGATCTTGACGCTCATTCAGTCACTTGGCTCTCACTTCCGCCCAGGAAGGTGGGCGGGCCGAGACAGCCAGGTGTGGCGCTTGGCAGAGAGCCGGCCATGCGGCCAGCACCATCCAGCGCCTTTAACTGACAGACCGGACAGCTAAAATGGTGCGTGAGAGCCACAAGAGCCCCAGGCACGGGGACAGAAGTGATGCGATGTTTCCGTGTCACCAGCCGGTCCGGTGTGGCTTCTCAGCGCAGACCAGAGTTGGCACCGAGTGGGGGAAGGAGTTTGAGCGGGCAGTCACCCCACATTGGGGGGCTTCGGACCCTTACCCTGCATGCGTGCGCCTGCGTGTCCGGGGTCCTGGAGCAGAGCAGGGCTAGGCTGTGTTCGGGCAGGGCAGGTGCCGGGGAGGCCCGGCATCGGCCGAGTGGGCAGTGGTACCTACCAGGTCACCTAATCTGGCATCCTGGCGGCGGGTGCTGCATGCGGGGTGATGCCCGAGCCACGGCCTGCTCGTGGCAGAGCTGGGAGGGGGATCTAGGCCTCGTTACCTGGAATCAGGCTTTTGGGTTCTAGCTACTTACTGTCTGTGGTGATGGTGACAGGCCAGGGGGGTTGCGATCGGCCACCCAAAAGAATTATGGATGCTCTGGTTGGTGGCCCCCACCCTCCCCACATTGGCCCTGATTCCCCTTCTCCTCAACAGGTGTGTCCAGCATCATGGCCTCCTCCCAGTGACCTTGTGGGCGTTTAATAAAGATTTGTGAACTCAGCCCTGCTCTCTGACCTCCTGCTTCCTGCCTCGCCCTCGCCCTCGCCCACCAGAGGGCGCCCGGGAGCCGGTCTGGGCCCGCCCTGCGCTGGCGCCTCCATTCTGGCTGGGGCTCCCAGTAGTGGGCTTCTCTCCCCTTGACTTCCTCGCCCTGCCCCAGCACCGCCCTCCTGACGTGTTTGGGGTCACAGTGGGAGTGGGGCAGTGAGTCAGCAGGCAGGGTGTGAATGGATGTTGCCGCCCAGCCCTGCAGCTGGTCTCTTCCCTCTGATACCTGGGTGAACCCAGCCACGAGAAGGGGGGGCAGGGTTTCTGGCAAGGGAGAGATCAGCCTTTGCCCCGGGCCTCACAATGCCAATGGTTCGCCCGGAGGTGGCTGGGGGGTGGGGTGGAGGTGGCTCTGCTCACCCCTTGTGTGCCCCTGGCCTGGTGACTGCCCTTGCGTTCCTCAGTTTCCCTGCTGTGGAAGAGGACAGCGCTTCATGATTCAGAGGCCTCAGACTGGCCTGGCCTGTTCTTGGAGTCTGTTAATTTCAGGCTCAGAAGTACGTCTCTAAAATTGCAAACTAGTCCCCGGCGCTCTGTTTGGAGAGACTTTACAAGAAAACTGGAATTTTCAGTCAGGCGCTTTCCCACGCCCCAAGTCCCAGCCTTCACCCTCCGTGTCGGTGGCCTGGAGGCCTGGCTCTTTCACGTAGCCTGGCTGGGCCCCTTGTTACCCCATTTCTCATAGGAGGTAGTCCAGGCTGCTACTGGAGTAACCTTGGGCAAGCATCTTCGCCTCTGAGCTGCTTTGTCTTTAAGGGGGGGGGCAGTTCCCACATTCCCCCTCCGACCCTCCCTTTCTGTCATTCCTCCTGGGGAGCTGGGGCAAGGCCGTGCCCTTTGCCCTGGGGTCCAGACTAGGCAGGAACTAGGGTGTGCTCAAACCCTAGGGACAAGAAGTGCTTGCTTCTGCAGGTGGGGAAGGCTCCCGCCCATGTGATTGTGTGGATCATCAAAGGACACCCTCCCCCGCCACCTCCATGCAGCCAGTCTGGAGATAACCTTTAGCAGTTGGAAGCCACATCCTGGCCTTTCCTGTGCACCCCCACTGAGTAGCAGAGACCTGGCGTGGCTTCGGCTTCGGGCGTTCGTGAATTTGCCTCCTTTCAGCTTTCCAGCCAGGGAGAGGTAACCATGGTTCCCCCGTGGGCAGTTGCTGTGAGTTGAATGCACGCAGTTTAGAATAGCTTAGCCCAGAAAAACCGTCAACAGGTCGGTCATGTTCTCTGGGTTCTAGGGCTGCGATTCAGCTGTGTTCAGGTCCCGCCCCAAGAGGACACAGCCCTCCCTCTCCTTTGTTCACTTAAGTGACACGAACACTTCTTGGGTTCCAAGAAGTGACGCAGAAATACTGGATCTAAGCTGTTATTGGGGCCTCTCAGATAGCAGAAAGCCTAGTCTCAGCACTATGAGCCTCTCCACAGCCACGGCAGCACGAGTTCGATCCCCGCCCGGGGAGGTGACCCACACGGTGCAGCAGGCTTCTCCTGTCTGCTGCTCCCCTCCGCAGCGTATTTTAGTCCATCTGCCTGTTCTGTTCCACTCTGGTGAGTCTCACCCCCTGCACCTCTGGCCTACACCCCAGCTCTTGTGCATAATTAAATCTTTTTTTTTTTCAAAAGCAGTTACTAGGGTCCATTGGGCATGCCCTTCACTCATGCCCTTCCTGGCCCATCTGGCCCTGCCCTGCTGCTCTTGGGACTTCTAGCCAGTGGCAGCTATTACTGAACTGGCCATGGATGATTGCTGGGAAGCGGCCTGAAAACTGGCAATTAAGCGAGCCTTTCATTTCAGGCTCATTGTGAGGGGCCAGCCCATCGCAGCCTTTGGTATCAGAGGTTTCTCTGTGCACTAAGAACAGACAGGGAGGGGCGGATGGCCCATCGCCCGAGTGGCCTTTCCCTGCCGACCAGACCCAGCGTGACAGTGTGGGCTGGTTCTCCAGGTCGGGCAGGGAGAGGCTGCCTTGCCCCAGCCCAGCCCAACTTGGGAAACTGTCGACGCTGCTGAGTCTCTGGCCCCGCTGGCTGGTGGGCTGCTGCCAAAGCCTTGTTCCCTCCTGTGCTCCCCATTGGGTCCCCTCCAGTACCCCTAGAAGAGGGAAGAGAGCCTTGCGAGCCCCCTAGTTGGGGAGCCAACGTCATCTGACCCTGTCTCCAGTAGCAGCCGTGACACTCAGCGGCTTGCTTGCCTGACAGCAATACCCCTCAGGACTTTCCCTGATTCAGCGAAGTTCAAGAGCACTGCTGATGCCCAGCCCAAAGCCTAAAAAGTCTTGAGCCTTTGCTCTTTCTCCACTTATCTTCCATCCCTGTGCAATTCATGATTTTTCCAGAGCCATCCACTGCCCCTCCTCCAGGGTCATGACTACCCACTCTGTGGCCAGCCGTCAGGCCAAGACCAGTTGAGTCTCCTTGCTGGTCTCCCTGTGCTCGCTGAGATTCCCTGGTGTTCCCCTCCCTGGGCAGAGGGTTTCGTGAATCCCCTAGTCAGTGCCCTACATTTCACCTTCATTCCTGGTTGCATTTGGAGTAAGATTTGAACTCCTTACCGAGGTGTGAAGCCCATTCATTCAGCCTGGCTGTGTTGAGAGGCTGTGTCCTGCAGGGCTTTGCTCCAGTGGATACACAGCAGTGGCCACAGCCAGTATCCCCACCCTCATGGGCTGGTATTCTTGTGCAGGAGACGGAGAAACAGAATCAGTCCCTTAGCATGTTATCTGGTGATAAGACCTATGGAAAGGAGAAGGCCAGGGATGTGTGGGTGCTATTTTAGCTAAGGTGGTCAGGAAAGGTGTCACTGAAGAAGTAAGATTTCCAGAGACCTGCAGGAGAGGAAGCAGGGAGCCCTGGGGATCCATAGTGTGGGGAAAGTGCCCCGGGCCGGCCGTGGTGACACATCGAGTCCTTGAGGTTGGAGCTGGCCTGATGTGTTCCAGGAATAGCAAGGTCAGCAGGTGCTCAGAGAGCCAGGGGAGGGGGAGCTGAGAGAGGAAAGGGGGACCTGGATGTGTGGAAGGGCTTGTGGGTCTGGCAGAAGCTGCAGGAGTGGGCTGGACTAGGGCAGGTAGACTCCTGTAGCCTTTTTTTCTTTCCGAGGACTGAGTTGCACCGTGAGTGTGGGTGGAGTGTCCTGAACAGAAAATGGAGGGGCTTGAGCTGACTTAGCAGGGTGGGGGACAGAGGGTGAAACATTTTGTAAATGGAATTGACAGAATTTCCTGAAAAACTGGAAGTGGCCCGTGAAAATAAAGAGGGTCAGGGATGACTGCAAGGTTTGTCGCCCACATAGCTGGAAGAATGGAGGGGCTGTGGACTGGGGATGATGATGGTGTGACTGGGTCTAGGAGGAGCTCAACTTTCAGTACTGAAATTTATAGGGCTATAAATATGACAGTGTTATTTACCTATTTACTTGCTTATTTATGGCAGTCCCCACACCCCCTGAGTCACTGAAGAACTAATCATGCTTATTATGATCAGTATTTTACCTCCAGTGCCAAGGAGAGTGCCCAGCGCACAGTAGATGTGCAACTAATATTTGCTGAACAATCGATGTAGAAAACCCTACATTCCTGGTCAGCCAATATCTATTCCAGCCTACTCGTAATCATTCCATGAGTTCTCCAGGTCTTTGTTTAAATGTCCTCCTCCTCCGCGAAGCCTACCCTGACTATTTTATTTACATCTCAGCGCCTGCTTGATTTTACTCTGGAACACTTACTACCCTGGCATATACAGGTCTTAATATATGTTATTTTCCATCACTAAAGTGGAAGGGGGTGTAACTATGGGGGCAGAGACTTTTGTCCATCTTGCTGAGTGCCAGGGCGTGCAGCATGGCCTGGCATACTAGGCGTTTAATAAGCACTTGCTGAATTTGTGCGACTGAAGGAGCACAACCGTGCCCGAACAGGTTAAGGCTGACGGTGCGACACCTTCTCGCCTTAGAGGATTCTTTACGGGCCCCGCCCGACGCGTGCGCACTAGAGAGCGGGCAGACTCATTCTCGTCCGCTGGGTCTCTAGAGCGCCGGCGCGAGAGGGCGGCGGCGTACGCTGCTGCGTGTGCGCATGCGTGGAGCCAGTACGCAGACGCTGTTTGAGCTGTAGCGGCGGCGGCGGCTGAGACTCGGCGGGGCGGGAGCTGAGGCGGGAGCGGACGGGCTGGTGGGCGAGCGAGAGGCGGCGGAATGGTGGACTACCACGCGGCGAACCAGTCGTACCAGTACGGCCCGAGCAGCGGGGGCAATGGCGCCGGCGGCGGGGGCGGCATGGGCGACTACATGGCCCAGGAGGACGACTGGGACCGAGACCTGCTGCTGGACCCGGCCTGGGAGAAGCAGCAGCGCAAGGTGAGCGGGCCGGGCGGGCCGGGCAGGCTGGGGGGTCCTGGGAAGGGACCGGGGCGTCTGCGATGGAAACGGGAGGTCCTGAGGAGGAGTGGGCGGGCGGGGGAAGGGGCTTGGAGTTCTGCAAGGGAATCGGAGAGAACTTGAGCAAGGAATTGGGAGTCTGAAAAAATAATTGGCGGCCGAATGGGGAATATGGAGGTCTGAAGAATGGAACCGGGGAGCCCGAGGGAGGAATTGAGGGTCTGCGCGGAGAATTGGGAGAAACGGAGGAGGTGATGGGAAGATCCAAAAACGGTTCTGGGGTCCGAGGCGGATGGAAACAGCAGGGGGTGGGTTGGGGTGCTGAGAAACGGGGGGCGTCTCGTATTTGTGGGCGACGGCAGAACTGGAGTTTGGAAGCACTGGAGAGGAGCTGAAGAATGGAGGGGTTTGTTTAGAGTAGAGGAAGGTGTGGAGAAGAGAGGGCTCCGTGGTGGGAGCCTCAGGTTTGGGGGAGTCCTAAAAGGGATGAAGATTCTGGAAACCTGAAGAGGGAGTAGGAGGTACAAGGAAGGGATTGTGGGGTCCGAAGAGTAGTGGGCGGATGGGGGAGAAGTGGGGGTTGAGTGGAGGAGAAGAGGGTGCGGGGGAGACGTGGGTGTGAGAAGACGCGGGTCTTGGGGTGTGAGGACAGAGGTACCAGGGAGGGAGGCTGGGTCGGGGTCTCAAGGGGGGAGTCAGGGACCTGTGGAAAAGTTTCGAAGGCTGTGAGGTTATGTAGGGCGCCCTGTGCGACCGGGAGGAGATGGGGAGATTGGAGCAATACGGGGCATTGATCAGGGGTGAAGAAGCTGAGGGGGAGTCTTGGAAGTTTTGAGGGGTAGAGGATTTGGAGGGTTTGGGAAGACCTGCTGGAAGCTGGAAAGCTCTCCGAGGCCTCTGAGGGAAAGGTGGGCCGAGGGCGCCCAGTCGGAATGGCGGCTCTGGGGACCTCGCTCCTACAGGGAAATGAAAGCTCCTTAGAAAGGGAATGTGATGGGGACACCGGGAAGGAACTGGGGGGAAAGCTGGAGCCGAAGCCCGGGGGCTGGGGAGTGGATGTGCGTGGAAGGAGAGTGAGACGTCTGGGAGGAGGTGAGTTTTCTAGAAGGGTGGCTCTTTGTGAGGGGCTGCTGAGGAGCCCTAAAGCGGGGGCTGTTTTCTGCTGGCACTTCAGGGTGCCCAGGGTGCGTGTGAGACGTGGGTGGGGCCCAGAGTGGGAGGGACACCTGAAAGAGCAGGGGTCCCAGAGAAGAGGCTGTGGGGGAGAGGGGCTGTGTGGGGGAGGGGGGCTGTCTGGGGGAGAGGAGTTGAGCATGAGCTGCTGCCACAGAGCATGAGGGGCGTGTTGCGGGGTGCACGTGGGGGTGCTGACCAGTGTGGAGAGGCTGAGCTGGTTGAGGCAGGAGGCAGGTCATGTCCTGAGGCCTGAGCTTCCTCCCCAGATCAGTTACTGATCAGCTCTGTGTCCCCAGGCAGGAGCCTCGGCTCCCTGGGCAGTTTCGCCATCTGTAAAACCAGGGGCCCAGGTCCCATTCCACAGAGATGGATGTCATGGGTCGGGTGGCCTGGGGCCAGTGCGAGTCAGGAAGCTTTTTCCCAACACCCAGGTTTTTTGAGCTTGTGACTGGAAGCCCCCTGAGGGTGCAAGGTGGTACCAGCAGCCCAGTCTAGGGAGGTCTGGGGGGAAAGGGCAGACGGCAGCAGGGCCTGGCTAACCTTGGGTAAGTTACCAACCTCTGCTAGAGTTTCCTCATCCCGGTGGTGGTGGGGGCGGCGGCGGCGATGCCTTCCTTATCTGTTGCCCCACCTACCTCGGGGTGCACAGGTTGAGATAGCTGACAGGGAAATGCCTTTTGGGGGGGCATGGGATCTGGTCTGCTGTGGCAACAGTAATTTAGTGCCCTGAGGCAGGGCTGGCTTGGAAAAGGTTAAGAGTTGCCAAGAGGCTGGGAAAGTTGGGAGGGAAACCGGGCCCACCAGGTTGCTTTTGAGCCTGTCTGAAGTCTGTCTCCCCTGGCTCCAGGTGCTGGGGAGGAGGAGCCCCCATCCCTCTTTCCCCAGGTGGTGGGAGTAGGGACACTTTATTTTCTCTCTCTGCCTACTACTCCCTGTGCCCTTTGGGACTCAGGACGCACGCTCCTCGCTCCGCGTGGTTATGGTCTCCCTGCACGCAGGGTGAGGCTTGCTGCAGGCCCTGGGCAGGACTGAGACTCACCAGCACCCCAGGCTCGCGCTCCTGTGTGTCATGCTCCTTCCCATCAAGGGCCAGGCAGGGTTGAGGGGGCCCGGGTCAGTGCTCCAGCTTCTCGTGAGGGCTAGTTAGCTTTTTGTGAGTGCTAAATACCCACTGCAGCAAATATTTACTCACAGCTGTTCTTCAGGGAGAATATTGCTTCACTGCTGTGCCCTTTCCCGACTGCAGGGCCAACTGGGAGCCTTTCTGAAATGGGGGAAGGAGTGCAGTGTGCTGTCCTGCCCTTTGAGAACCCACCCCCGTGGCTGACTGGGTTTCTTCTATGCAGCGAATGATGGTTTGCTCTTCTTGCCCCTCCAAGGCTGAGCCACCAGTCACAGAATGGCAGTCTCTGCTTCCCCACAGACCCCAAAAATCTGTGACCAGAGCAGCGTAGGCTCTGCAAGCATGTGGAATTCTAGGAGTGAAGGTGAAGTTGGCCCAAGTTAGAAGGTGTGGCTCCTAGTGGTTCTCACTTGCTTAGATCCCTTTGCTCTGACTTCTAAGGACCCTGTCACGATGTCACTACCTGACAAGTGGGTTATGCAACAGTTCTGACATGGGAAGGCTCTGAGTGTGCTCCTGGGAGAACGGGGAGCGGCTGTTCTGGTCTTTGAGTAAATTCTTGAGCAATTATAGTTCTGGGCCCACTTCCCTGAAAGGGCCTAGGTAGCCTGCCCCCTGCTGCTCTCCTGGACCGCTGAGATCACCTGACAGATGCTGTCACCTGACAGCTGCTCCAGAAGGTCTCATCACAGCAGAGGAGGGCTCTCCTTTGCTAGCCTCGCTGGTTTCTGCCTCAACCTTTGGCTCAAGCTGTATTAGGTGTGAGTTAATTATTTGAAAGTTCTGATGGTGTTTTGTTTTTTTCCCTTTCGGGCTCTTGATGGAGGCCCCAAAGTTGCCATCTGTTTTGTTCCATTACTCTAATTGCTTCTCTCTTAGGATCTAAGACAAACGGGTCCATAACAGTTTTAAAAATTGAATAATGTACCCAAACAGCTCTATTGTCATTCAGAAATAAGGATATAAACATGTGGGGGGGTCAAGTGTACTCTGCCCACTTGGGAGGGAGGAGGGGAAGGAGCGCTCAGGGATATCCCCCATGTGTGTCTTAGAACATGGCATTTCTGGTGGCTGCGGAAGAGGTGAGGTGTGGGAGTGTGGCCTGGAGTACAGGGGCTGGTAGACCCTGGTGTGTGAGTTTTAACTTGAGCGTTGCAATCTGATTGGAGCCAACTTGGTGCCATGGACTGGCGCCTACTGCTTCATCTAATCCTAGGCCGACAGGGTGTGGGCCAGGCTTGCTGCCCTCTGCCTTTGAAACATCCTCCCTCCCTGGTTCCGGCTTCTGAGACTAACAAGGAGGCCACTTTGGCAGCAAGGAGGTGACTCACTCTCCAGTTAGGACTGGTACTAAATGGTTTCATTTAATGGCAGCCGTTGCCTGGCCTCCAGTGGGCAAGGTTTCGTGAAAGCATTAGAGGAAGACAACCCAGGTAATATCCTGGTGCTGCTGGTGCTGCTCAGCACCTGAGGTGGCAGTCAGGGCTCGCACTCCCAAAGTTCCTCAGAGCAGGGACAAGCTGGACCCTAATGCAACGTGTGGGGCCAGGAGAGGAGATCTACTCGTGTGGTGGCTGACTTGGGCCTGACAGTACCCATCCTGTCCCCGTCCCCTCCCCCCCCAATTGAGTAGTAGTGCTATCTAGCAGATGACAATGAAGGAAGGGAAAATTAATTTGGAAGACTTAGGTATTTCTGAGATTGTGGAGACGGGCTCTTTAAGCTTTTGCCATATTGGCTTATAGTGTCTTATAATTGTCTTCTACCAGTTAGACCAGATCTGAATGTGTTCTTAAAAAAAAAAAAATCCTGTGCCGCTTTTATTTTCTCCGGAGAGAGGGGAAAGGCAAAGCATAATTACCGAACAGCTGTTTGCTCTAGTATCACTTACTCATTCAAGTTTTGTGAATAGCTGAAATAATCAACATGTTTGTCTTCCTGACATTTAGCTCCTGGCCTGAGTTCCCCAGCTTTACCCCTGTCTCCTTCACTTAGAGGCCTTCAGCTACTCGGTGGTGGCATCAGTTCCCTGGCCTCAGTTGCCTTTATTATGTTTGTGTTTACAGAATAACAAGACACTCTTGTTACCTTGTTGAGGGCCCGCTCTCCTTTCTTTTTTCATGGAAATAGCAGGCTAGTGATAGCAAGTTGGAAATTCAATGGCAGCTGTAACTGAACCTGCCCTACTAAAAGGTGGGCGGAAGTTCCTGCTGGAGCAGACACAAATCCTGTCACCCAGGAGGTTTGAAAGAAGTCTTTCTATCCCCGGGAGTTTGAGAGCTCCCATTAAGTCTACTTTAGGATGCGTTTTAACTTGGAAACATAAAAGCACAGCTAAAAGGAAACTTAGTTTTACAATGTTGGCAGTCCAAGCACCAGATTTTGTTATAAAGTGGCATAAGTAACCCTTTTTTCAAGAAGGTTTATGAGTTACATGTTTAGTCAGTATCCCTGGTTCCAAGAAGTGTAAAGTTCAGTGAATCAAAGAGAATCAGAACCTTCTTAAAAGTCCAGTCTCTTTTTAAAGAACACTCTTTCTTATTGGGGGGAAATGAACAGGCAGACTGGGAGGGGAAGGGTCTTGTCGACATGGTTGCATAGATTTATCTGGCAAAAGTGTCCTTACAGCAGTGCTTGGGGCGCTTTACTCAACTAGCAGTCCTGCCGCGGTCATAAAAAT